GGGCAGGAGGGTGGGTGGAGATTAGGGTTGGGGGCGGGAGATTCAGAGAAAGTGAAGATATGGGTTTATATAAACATATTTAAAGCAGCTTAGCAAAAGCTTTCTCATTGGACAGCTTTAAGAACAATGTGAATGAAATCTTAGCAACTTGGTTAGTAATCTGAAAAGTCTATTAATGTATACTTGAAATTCTGTTTGTATAAAAATACATTTTCCTCTTTATTTTAACACTGTGTAAAAGAACATTATGCATGTGAGTGGTTTGAGAATTAAATGGTTTAATACTCAGATTTGAATCTCTGTCTTTTCTGTACACAGAGATGAATGCGTTTTAAATTGGGGGATTTCTATGTTTTAGTAAGGCGGGAATGCCGAGGTTTCTAGCCCCCTGCCCTTCTGGGATGCCTACCATCTTTCAGATGATGCAGTGACAGATCCTTCATTTTCTTGACCCAGATGTGTTCAGTGGGAGGGAGCAAGTAAAAACATCACTTTACCAAATGCCCAACAGCACATCTATCCGTCTCTCCCTTCCTTGCCTTCGTTTCAGGCGGCACTGTCCATTCATACTTGTGAGATGGGAGTAATTATATTTATTTTTACTTCTATTCACAAACCAAAACAGGAAGAGGTGCAAAGAAGAACACTCTAGTTCACACAAGGGTTAGCTACCCTGCCCATGAAGATGATAGTGTTCAGAGCAACTTCCCTTATGAGAACCAGGAAGGGCCTGTTGGCCTTGAAGATCACCCTGTTGGGGTTCAGCGAGCGGCCGGCAATCACGAGGGCGGTGCTAGCTGCTGCTTCACTGCCTTCCTCGTTTACCTGCGGGTCAAACAGGAAACTGCTGCATTAGCTGCTCTGCAGTTCCTTAGACACAGGGACGTCACACACAGACACAGCTACTCCTCCAAGTGCCATCTGCTGCCCAGTGGAAAGGACCCTTGGTCAGCTCGGGTTCCCTCCGGAACCTGCTGTTCCTCACTCCTCCACCCAGTGAAGGCTGATGTGAGCATTTGGATTCGTTCAAGCCTTTGGCTGGACCCATTCAGGTCACCCCCAAACCAGAAATCTGGATGTAGACAAGACTGTCACATTTCTGGCTGGCACCACGGTACCTGGTATTACAGCAGGATTATGTTGTGCTCTGTGCTAAGAGAGATTGTGACTCAAGATCAGAGCTCTACAGTTGTAGTTTCACTCCTGGAGCATCAGGATCCCAGATCTAAGTACCCCAGGCAGCCACTCAGGACCTAGGGCCTATGAAAAAGAGGAGGGCACTCTGGCTGGAGGAGACGAGTATGTCTTGGAGTAATAGACTGAAACAATGGTATTTGTGCTCACAAGCAGAACCGCCACCAGTCTAGAGGGAGACACCTTTAGAAAATTGTACTTGGGGACCCAGAATATCACTAAAACTGTGCTTGCCTTTTCATGAAATTCCTCTGCTGGCTCCTTCCCCTTAAGGTCTGTGTCGCTGTTTGACCAGCTTCAGGAGAGAGAGTGGGAGGGAGGGTGGAAGGAGACCCCAGGGCTTCTGGGTGGGGCTGTATTGTGGCTGGCCTCCGGAGGAGGAGACTATGGCTTTGGGGTTGGGCACTGGAAATGTGGCTTTTCCACATTGTCTCTGGCTGTTACCTATACTCCAACAGCCAGTGAAACAAGTCCAAAGTTACAAGTCACAGGAGTATTGATGAATGAACAATAAAGCAGATGGAAATAGAAAAGCAGCAGAAGGGAGAGCAAACGGAGGTGTGCTTACCTCCAGGAATGCCTTATGGAATGCGTCTGAGATGAAGAGGTCGTCCCGGCCTCCAGCAACAATACCTACAAGGAAGAGAGTAGGCTCTGTGACCTGAGAAAGTCGGCTCAACCCGCAGAAAGGAATTCAGTTTGAGGTCAGAGGTCCTTTGGGGCTTTTTTGAAAAATAGGAAGCAATCCTGGACCCTCACCTAATGACACCCTCAAAATGAACGCGTGTTGACAGTAATAAAGTACACCGAGCTTATCAGCCTGGCTCCTGTGAGTTTGATGCTTTAGCCCTTGGTGGGGTAGGGGGCAGGGGACTCTGTTCTTAAAAAAATATTCACTCTGGTAGGAATACCTTTCTTTCCAGTCTGGCAACATTTTAAAGACAGGGATTGGTTTTCAGACCTAGTTTAAAGACAGCCTATTAAAGGTAAATCCAGTTACTTAACATTGTAAACTGAAAGGTCTGGCTGGCTGTCCAAGTGACCTTAAGGCAAGCACACGAACCCTTTGGAATATCGGGTGAAGGGCTACTAAATGTCAGCTACGCCTATGTTGTGGGACTCAGATGTCCCCAGCTCTTCATATCTGTCTCTCTGCTCTGAATTCTGATGCCTTTTCAAGTTCTTCTCTGCCTGATCTCATCTCTATCAGTGACAGGCTCAGGGTTCCCCTGCCAACTGGGCCTGTGGAGACCCAACAGCTAAGTCCCCCTTTTCCAGAAGAGGAAACTGAGGCCTCAAGAGAGACAGGGAGTTCCCTGAGTTAGCAGTAGAACCGGGATTAGAACCCAGGTGTCAGACTCGTGGCTCTTTTCTACTCTCCCTTCCACTCCCACTCTCCCACCTTTGGTCAAACCACCTTGGGGCAGGAAAAGGAGGAAAGTCCTTTCTCAACTAACCGGGGAGCCTGGACTTCTCCGGGCTGAACAGGTCCACAAGGCCCATGTCCTGCAGCTTCTCCTTCACGCTGAAGCTGTCCTCGATGCGGAAGCGGGGCACGTGGACCACCAGCATCGTCTCTGCCAGCCCGTCCAGCCACTCCTGCAGCACCTCGGGGGTGAGCTGCTGCTCCACCTTGGCCAGGCTCTTCTCGAGCTTGGGCAGGATGAGCACCATGGTGATGTCATCACCCTTGAAGGGCAGCTCGAGCACCTGGGTACCTTCCGCCACAGTCCGATAGCGGAACTTGCCCTCCTGGTACATCATGGATGCCGAGCACAGCTGGTCATCGGCTTTGTGAAAATGTTCTGTCCTTGTGTTCTCAGCGCTGAACTTTGACTTCCACAGGCCCTGGAAGAAGACATCAGGTGGCAGAACCACAAAACAAGAAGACCAGGAACATCGGTAAGAGGCTACTGACGTGGGCATATTCTCATTATTTCATTACATTAATGTGAATGTATAATTAATAGGAAAAATGACTAGAGGGGTCTGCGTGGAAAGATGAATGATGATTGTGTCACAGTGATGGAGTCAGGAGAATTTTCTTTCTGGGAACTTGCCTGTATGTCCCAGATTTTTAGCAGTGACTGTTTATTTGCTTTTATAATGAGAAAACTAAAAACTAAAACCAAGAACAACCTACTGGCCTCTTTACAAGTTTCTCCTTGAGTTTAAATCTAATTGCCTTTTGCTTTCTGTCTCCCACCAGCCTCTTCCTCCATGGGCTCTGCCCGAATGAATACAGGCCACACGCAGATAATAACCCCAGGGGGTTGTCTGGGAGCCCTGCCAGGCAGAGGGTGGGTCCTGGCCAAGTTCCCATTCAGTGGGGCAGGATACAGGACACTCCAAAAGCCTGAGCTGTAATGACCATTCCTGTCATCTGGCTCTTTGATTTGGGGACAAGTCATTTAACTCTTTGAGCTGTGAGTCTTCCTCTAGCATTCGGAGCTGGTGATCACTAGTATTTGTAGGGCGCTCATTGTGTGCGAGGCACTGCCCCAAGCATTTTACATGCATTAACTCAGTCCCCTCAGTAACCCTGTGAGGTGGGTGTATCATTACCAGCATTTTACAGATGCAGAAATCAGGCAGAGAAAGGTCTCCGGTAGCTAGGCCAAGTTCACGCAGTTGGAGATGGGAGAGTCTGGATTTAAACTAAATCCAGCCTGTCTAAGCGGCCCAAGGTCTCATTTGTGATGTTAGGAGGATCAGGAGGGCTAATGCATGGCAAAGTGTTCTGTAAACAGTCATAGACACTAGAAATCTAACCTACTCCGCTCTTGGAGAGAGGAAACCCCAAGCAACAGAGTGGTTGGCCACAGCAGTGGCTGGCTAAACCCTTGGGCCCTGTCGGGGAGGGGGATGCATATGGAGCAGGACCCAGGATGGGCAGATGTGCCACAGTCCCACCTGCCTTCCACGGGTGACCCTCCTGATGTAGGTTAGTACCTTGAAGTAAATGGTGTTGACCAGCACCAGGACAGTGAGCTCGTCAATAGCGCCCTGGGGAATGACGTCAGTGATACGCCCTTCGGTCTTATTGGATATCCACCGGTTGATGGTCACTCTGGATAGCTCTGCATTTTCCTAAGGAGAACAGGAAACAAACCTACCCACCTGAGCTATTCAGTCGTCTTCTCCACTTCCCCGTGTAGCATTTTTTTAATCCCTCTGCCCTTTCCCACCATGTGGTTAAGCCATCACTCCAACCCAGACCGGGGAAACCTCACCTATCTAGTACAGTGCATGGCACATGAGTTCAGGTTTCCANCCCCACCAAGCCATCACTCCAACCCAGACCGGGGAAACCTCACCTATCTAGTACGGTGCATGGCACATGAGTTCAGGTTTCCAAAACATGTTCTCTGGGAAGCTANTCCCACCATGTGGTTAAGCCATCACTCCAACCCAGACCGGGGAAACCTCACCTATCTAGTACAGTGCATGGCACATGAGTTCAGGTTTCCAAAACATGTTCTCTGGGAAGCTAATGTGGGATGAGGGATTAGGGAAGGGGACAGGAGGGATGTTCACGTGATCAAAAGTCTGAGAAATGCTCCTTGAATTAATGTCAATAGACTTCTTGATTACAGGATTTCTCAGACACCTAATAGGTTCAGGTGCTCATGAATTTCCAAGAGGAGAACATAACTCGCACCATATGCCAATTTTATTTGACCATGGTAACTTTAAGACCTTGAATTAAATAAGGGATCTGGTAGGACTGGCATCTCCAGAATAGCTTTGGGCATATATGTGAACTTAGTAGGTGAGATGAAGAATTTATTATTTGCACAACTCTGTCAGAGCATCCACTACAATCCATAGATACCATTGACTTACCAGGTTTCAAGCAAGAGTAAGTATTCCAGGGGTTCTGACTGCACTGTCCCCCTCCCTCTGCCTTTAACCGGATCCTGCTTCTCTATCTTAGTCGAGAGGAAGAGCTCTGAGGTCAGGGACGTGTGTAACTCACCTTGAAGTCCAGGGGCTGGAGCTTGGCTCCGTAAACCACCTCACTGATGTCCTGGTAGGTCTCATTGAACGTAAGGGATTTGTCTCCGAAGAGGCGGTTGGCTGATACCAACTGGGAGGATTTGTTGGCTTTTCGATAGAGCCGGCAGTTCAGTTTGGCAAAGAAAAAGTGGATCTGATCCGATGTCTTCTCGGAGATGGTATCAAACTTAAAAACCTGTAGAAGCCAAAAGAAAATGGTGGTGGTGCCATGGGCGGTGAGCACAGTGCCGTCGGCCCCTGACCAAGAGCCACCTCAGTTGTGAACTTCAAACGCAGTGCCTGGCGCAGCGTAAGCGCTCAGCTCGTGTTTCCTAACCGAGTGCGTGGGTGGAAGGAGAATGAAGGGTAGGAAAGATAAAAGGGAAAAGAGACAAAGGCCCTGGGCTAGCCCCTGAAGCCTCTAACGGGCTGTAGAGCAAGACACAGTAAGGAGCCGGGCAGAAGGGCTGGGGACTGTACCTCCATCAGCTCCTTGAGGGTGTTGTCACAGGCACCCAGCTTGGCCATAGCAAAAGCTGTGGAGATACTCAGGGGCGACAGGAAAATGTTGTCATTGTTACTCTTGGAGTCCGCCAGGTGCTGATAGAAGGCAGTGGCAAAGCGGGAATTGGCCTTGGACAGTTCCCAGACCCGCGGGTTGGTGGCCTCGGGGATCTTCTGGTCTGAGCCCTCCTCCTCGGGTGCCTTCTTCTCTGGGGAACGGTAAATGCACATGGGATTCACAGGGATGTCCCGAGGCTTGGCTGTGCAGATGTCCTCCACAGGGCTCCAGTGACAGGTCACACAGCCCCAGAGGCCAATGAGCAGCACGGACAGAAGACATACCCTCCTATAGGGGACAGAAAGCTGAGTTAAGCTAGGCCGGGAGACCCCCTATCCCCACTGCCCGTCACAGATGTGCCCCAGTAAAGCATAGGATGCCAACCCACCCGTGTGACCTTGGACTTTGTGAAGTACAAGAGCCCAGGACAAGTCCAGTCCTGGCCTCCTTGCAAGCGGATAGTTCGTGTTGAAGTTGGAATCAACTGCTGAAGCAACTGATGGATATTAGAAGTACTTTGTGCCCCAGGTCCCCTACTGGGAGAAATAAGAATGCAGAGCTTCCGGCGGTGAGATGGGCCCTGAAAGGCAGGCCGGAAGCTTGAGCGCCCCATGGAGAGTGAGGGGAGCAGCAGGAGCCACTTACAGAGCTGTTTAGGGAGTACCCCGGGAAGGGAAGTAATTTAGCCTGATGGTAAAGGACTGGCAGGATTTTCATTGAACACAGAGGGGTAAGAGGGGACGAGTCGGCAAGGGCACTCGCCACGTGCCAAAGTCTCCCACATCGGTAGCTCCAGCCCCGTTGTTGGCTGGACAACCCCACCTGGATGTCCAGCCTATTCCTTAGACAAATACAACCAAGCTGGACGTGTAAGTCCCCCCACACACCTGCTTCTCCATGTGCTCTGACCCAGCAGATGGGACCCTCAAGCACCCTGTGGTCCACTCCAGAAAACTGGGATTCACCCTGGTCCCTCCCTCTCACCCTCCTCATTTAGTCAGACCTGGGTTCGATTAATCTTCCCCTTGCTCTCTCATGGCCTGAGTTCAGGCCTTATCATTTTCTGTCGCCTGGAAATCTTAAGAGCTTTCAACATGAGTTCACGAAAGGTACATGAAACTAATGTCCCTTTTTAAAAAAGGAGATCACGAGGTTGGCAAATTAGAATTGGGACACCCAAGTAAGCAAACCCAGAGATAAACTTTCTTGTAGTATTTTGTCAAGAAGACAGAGTGGGCCAGGGCTTCCTCTGGCTGACTTGGGTCTGTGGGTCTGGCAAAGGGAGTCTGTACGTGGGTACCGAGTCTTTTCAATCTTTCCCTGGCAGAAAAAGACAGGCTCGCAGGGCAGAACAGATTTGCCGAGGAGGCCTGCTGGGCAAGTGTGGGCCTGGCAGGACGCTGGGGGCAGCTGAGGGTACTTGCTCGTGGGTGATCTGAGGCCAACTTATAGCCCTTTGCAGAACAGAGGCCCGGAGTGGAGGAGGGGTGGAGGGGGGGGAGAGATGGGAGGC